CACACACACACACACACACACACACACACACACACACACTAAATAAATAAATAAATAAATAAATATTTAAAATGGCCTACAAGGTCCTACATGATCCAGCTACCCCATTACTTCTGTAACCTCACCTACTTCTCTCCCTCTTGCTCACTGCTCCAACAACACCGACCTCTTTGCTGTTCTTCACACAAGCCAGGCAAACTATTTCAGAGCCACCGCACTTGCAGGTGTCTCTGCTATGATGTTCTTTTCCCATTTATCTACATGGCTTCCTCCCTATCCTGCAGGGTGAGAATGTCACCTTCTTGGCAAAGTCTTTCCCGACCACTCCAGCATCCCCTTACTCACCTTCTCTGCTTTACTTTCTCCACAACACTTATCACCATCTGACATACTTGATTTATTTATTGACTCCTGACAGTGGAATGTGGAAACTCACTAAGACCAGGCATTTCTTATCTATTGTGTTCACTGCTGTATCCCTAGTAACTAAAATAGTGCCTGGTTCAGAGCTGGTGCTCCATAAAAATTTTTTTAATAAATAAAAAAATCTTTTTAAATTCTCAATATGAATCTGACAGACTATTAACCATCTTTTTCATCTACTGGTCAGTCTATCCAATCTAGCTAGAAAATCTGTTTCTGCTTCTGTCATTGCATTTGCTTTCTTCTACCAGCCAACTCTTCAAATATACCATCTCTCTTCTTCTAATTCTCTCCTTTAAAATGACTACTCTCCTCCTTTAAACTCACCTCCTTCCACAAAACTTTTCCAAATCGGGCCAATTTCCTCTTGTAAAAAATAATCTAGAAAATAAAAATGGTAACTGGGTTGGTATGGTAGGATTATGGGTAACATTTTTTTAAACAATTTTATTGAGATATAATTCACATTCCATACAATTCACTCATTTAAAGTATACAATTCAATGATTTTAGTATATTCACAGATATGTGCAACTGTCATCACAGTGAATGGTAGAAGATTCTCATCACTTCAAGAAATCCTATCTCCTTAGCTGTCCCTCCTGGATTCTACCCCATCTTAGTTTTAAGCAACCACTAATCTACCTTCTGTTTCTACAGATCTCCCTATTCTGGACTTGCATATAAATGGGACCATCTAGTATGTGGTCTTTGATGACCAGCTTCTTTCACTTAGCATAATGTCTTCAAGGTTCATCCACGTTGTAGCGTGTATTAGTATTTCATTCCTTTTTATGGCTAAGTAACATTCCATTTTATGAATATGGGTGATATATTTAAGATAAATTTCACTGTTCTAAAACTATTGAAGAGGGGCTGGCCCCATGTCTTAGCGGTTAAGTGCGCGTGCTCTGCTGCTGGCGGCCCGGGTTCAGATCCTGGGCGCGCACCGACTCACTGCTTCTCCGGCCGTGCTGAGGCCACATCCCACATACAGCAACTAGAAGGACGTGCAGCTATGACATACAACTATCTACCGGGGCTTTAGGGGAAAATAAATAAATAAATAAAATTATTAAAAAAAAAAAACTATTTAAGAGTAACTTGGAGGAGCCGGCCCCATGGCTTAGCGGTTAAGTGCGCGCGCTCCGCTACTGGCGGCCCAGGTTCAGATCCCGGGCACGCACCAACGCACTGCTTGTCCAGCCATGCTGAGGTGGCGTCCCACATACAGCAACTAGAAGGATGTGCAATTACAACATACAACTATCTTCTGGGGCTTTGGGGAGAAAAAAGGGGAAAAAAGGAGGAGGATTGGCAATAGATGTTAGCTCAGGCCGGTCTTCCTCAGCAAAAAGAGGAGGATTGGCATGGATGTTAGCTCAGAGTTCATCTTCCTCACCAAAAAAAAAAAAAAAAAAGAGTAACTTGGATCTTTAAAAGAGCCTTCTAACAACCTGTAACCTCTCTTCTCCCTCATGGTTAGTGACTATCCTCACTCCTTCTCCTTCCTATGACTACTGCACATCTACAAAAAGTTGTCTGCACTCACGTCTCATTTAGCTTTATAATCTCTAACAATCTGACTTCAATACAACATCTGAACTGAAGTTCCTCTTCTTGGTCAGCAGACATTCAAATTAATAAATTCAATTGCTCTTTTGGGTTCCCATCCTTCTCCATCCAACAAGTCACTCCTTGATTTGTATGCTTAATTTGACAGTATTGACCACCCTTTAAAAAAAAATTGCTTTGTAGTTCAGAGTATGGGCTCTGAAATCAAACAGACTTGGGTGTGAGTCAAAGCTCTGTCCCTTATTAGTTGTGTGACCTCAGGCAAGCTATTTGTTACTTATTAGTTAAATAAATATTATTTATTTAAAACTTCAGTTATTTATTAGAAAAACAGGGAGAATAAGAACATATATGCCAT